ATGACACAACAAACCCCCCAGGAATGAATTGGAGTGTCACGGAATGTCACTGCAGTGTCCCAGGGGATCACCCCAATAGGATGGGGGGTTTTATAGGACGTGTGAGACCCCCACCATGGGCACACCGGAGTGTCACCAAATGTAAAGGTCCCTCCCAATGGGACAATGGGATGTTGCAGCAATGGGAGAATCCCCCAAAAACATCCCGGGGTGCTGCAGGATGTGGCTGACCCTCCCAGCAATCTGGGGGTGCCCCGGACAATGCCCCCCAACGCCGGGAGTACCTGTGGGGGGTCCCTCCTAATGGGAGAACCCCCAAAAACATCCCGGGGTGCTGCAGGATGTGGCTGACCCTCCCAGCAATCTGGGGGTGCCCCGGGAGTACCTGTGGGGGATCCCTCCCAATGAGAGAATCCCCAAAAACATCCCGGGGTGCTGCAGGATGGGGCTGACCCTCCCAGCGATCTGGGGGTGCCCCGGACAATGCCCCCCAACCCCGGGAGTACCTGTGGGGGGTCCCTCCCAATGGGACACCGGGATGTTGCAAACAATGGGAGAATCCCCCAAAAACATCCCGGGGTGCTGCAGGACGTGGCTGACCCTCCCAGGAATCTGGGGGTGCCCTGGACAGCCCCCCCAACGCCGGGAGCAACTGTGGGGGGTCCCTCCCAATGGGACACCGGGATGTTGCAAACAATGGGAGAATCCCCCAAAAACACCCCGGGGTGCTGCAGGATGTGGCTGACCCTCCCATCGATTTGGGGGTGCCCCGGACAGCCCCCCAACCCCGGGAGTACCTGTGGGGGGTCCCTCCCAATGAGAGAACCCCCAAAAACATCCCGGGGTGCTGCAGGATTGGGCTGACCCTCCCAGCGATTTGGGGGTGCCCCGGACAGCCCCCCAACCCCGGGAGTACCTTTGGGGGGCCGCGGGGGGACGGTCRACGCTCTCCAGGTACGTGGCCAGCCAGGCCATGGCGGCACCGAACCCCGCTGGCCCGGCTGGCCCCGGTGTCCCCAAGGTCCCCCCKGCTGCTGCCAGCGCCCCCAATGTCCCCAGCGGTCCCCCCGGTGCCTCCTGCTTGATGCGCTCAGGGGTGGCCTCGATGATCTGTCGTGCCAATGTCACCACCTCGGCCTTGGGGACAGCGGGAAGGAAAGTTGGGATTCTCCTGGATTGGAGGTGTCCCCAAGCCTCGTGGTGTCCCCACTTTTACCTGCAGGGTGTCGGAGGGTGGGGCGTCCTCAGGGGAGCTGGGGGGYACTGCCACCCCCCAGTTCTCATCCTCGGAGGGGCCGGGGAGGCTCGGGGGCAGCGGGACAGAGCCAGGACCYTCCGAGAGCCCCGAAGGGGACGACAAACTGCTGGCGGTGCTCAGCCCTGGGGACACGGGGGACACGGTGCGGGGAGTTCAGTCCCATGGATGGACAACCCCATGGGGGACACGGAGAGGACAGGGGACAACGTGGGGACGTGGCAGGGACACAAAGAAGGACATGGGGGGCACACATAGGGGACAGACTGGAGG